TTTTCCAGGAAGGAGAAGAGAAGGTATTTGCCGGCGCTACGGGCATTCCGGCAATCTTTGCTAGAAGCGCCTGAGCCATTCCTGCCGCTCGTGCGTCGAACACGTGTTAGCGCAGCAATTGCGAAAACGTCTTCGAAACGACCGCGGCGGCCGCGGAAAGGGGATTCCCGGGCAGTTGAATGACGGGAAGGCATCCGCCGATCCCGGAGCAGTGGTCATGTTCCACTGGGGATCCGTAGGCGGCGCGACCCCATTCGGATCGTGTGCTTCAGTCCGGATCTGGTCAACTGATTCCGGCGCGCTCCAAAACGCCCTTGGAATTCGCCATGAGTGATCCACTCTCTCGGGGAGCCTCTCGGATTGAAGATAATGCCGAGGCTTTTATGGCTATCAGCTTTCTTGATGAAAGCTCCTCTGAAAGCGAGGCTGAGGGTTGGGTTTCGGCGTCGGGCAAATATCATATATATTTGGTCTTGTCCAAGGAAGGTGCAATTCTTGAGGAGAGTTTCGATAATATCGAGTCCCTGCTGCAGGGTTTGTCTTCTCTTGTTGAGGGTGCTTTCTTGCGTCCAAGTGGTGATGTCGTCGGCTTAAAGGGTAAAATTGAGGGATGGGGTACGTTCTCAAGCCTCCAGGCGAGGTGATGTTGAAGAGGGTTGGGGAGAGTACCGCTTCCTGCGGTACCCCGATTTGGTTGTGCCGGGTAGGGCCTTTAATGTTTCCGGACCGGACGGAATATCTACTTTGCTTTAGGAAGGCTTTGACAAAATTGAGGGGTCGGTGTGTGATGCCACTCTGCTGAAGTGCACGGATGATTACATCGTGAGGTAAAGAATCAAAGGCTTTGCCGATGTCGCCAGCGACGAGCGAGCAGTCTTCCTGGTTTTTGGCTGTAGATGTCCCTGGTTAAAAAGAGAAGGCTGTCTTTCGTGCCTAGGTGCTTGCGGAAGCCAGTTGGGGTGGGGTGAAACACCTTGCGGTTCTCGGCGACCTATTCGATCCGTGCGAGGAGAATTCTTTCGAATAACTTGCACATGATGGAGGTGAGAGAGATAGGGCGAGTGTTCTTGAGAGTGTTGGATGGTTTGCCTGCTTTGGGAATCGGCGTGACCCAAGATTCTCTCCACTCTTCCGGGAAGGTGTCGTGGGTCTAGATCTGATTGGACCTTTGTAGTAGTTGTTGTTTGGCCGGTGTGGGGAGACACACTGACGGTGATGCCGTCAGGCCGGGTGCCGACTTGACGTTGCCTTTGCTGATTGTTGTCTCGAGCTCCCACATGGTGATTGGGATATTCCAAGGTGGCGGGTCTGCGGGTAAGGGCTCCGGGTTGTACAGAGGTGGCTCCGGAGCGGATCAGGGTTGGGGGAAGAAGACATTCCCGAGATCTCGTAGTATGGTTTCAAGTGGCTTATCGGGAGCTAAGGCTATGTTTTCAATGGTCTTTCCAGTCTTGCTGATTTCTAGCATGACGTGGAAAGTCCGCCACAGTTTCCGTATTGATGTGGGTGATATAAAGACCCCCAGTGCTCGAGCCATTCGTTCACCTTAAGAGTTTTGGCGTAGTCAGCTGCTTCCGACCTGATTTGGTTGAGTTCCTGAAGGGCCCTTTGGGTCCTGTCACTCCGTAAGTATAAGCTAGGGTTCGTTTGTTCAAGAGCGAAAGGAGATGTGCATCCGGAGTGGGAGCCTCCACCTTCTTCAGTTCCTTAGACAACTTTCCATGACGATTATCCTTTCATCTAATATCCGCCGAGCCTGATAAATGCATGGTGAAGACGGAACTGGTCTAATTCTCACCCTCTTAAAAAAAATTGTTTTCTCTTAATATTTACGCACCTTCTATTCGCTCCCCATTGTCGTTGTTATAATGATTCGTCGGGACCTGTTTCGGTTACGGAAATGGCAAGTGTTACTGTAACTTTTGGGGTGCTTCTGAGCAGTGTACCTCGAAATAGTCTTTTCTTAATATCAAACGGTTCAACCTGATATCAAGCGGTTCAACCTGATATCAAACGGTTCAACTTAAAATCAAACGGTTCAAAGTTGGGACCGAAGGTCACGGAGCGCGCCGTCTGGTCTCGGGACGATGACACCGCGCTTTTCGTCGCCGAAATCAGATCGGCGCGCTCCGCGAACTTTTGGCTCCAACTTTGGGTTTGACGAGTTTAGAGTCCCTGCACTACGTAAATCCCTCGCGCAAAAAAAAAAAAAAAAAAAAAAAAAACAAGAAGAAAACAAACACACACGCACATTACTAACACATAGGCGCGCACACACACACACACACACACACACACACACACACACACACACACACACACACACACACACACTCACACACACACACACACACACACACACACACACACACACACACGCAGAGACACAACGAAAAGATACAAGGAAAAAGAAGAAGAAACGTTAAGCCAAACAAAAAAAAATCTTTTTTTTTTTTTTTTTTTGTTGATGGTCTGGAGCGTTTTGTATCGCGGTCATTTTTCGCCACCGCTCGAAGAGGAGAACCCGGTGAGCGTCACCCGAAAATAGGGAGAGTTTTTCGGCTTCCCGCGCTCTTTGCCCGGCCACTTCATCGCGAGGAGGACTGGACGGACTGGCGGATTTATCTCGAGCAGAGATAAGCCTCTCGCAGAAGCCGGTCCGGCCGTCCCGGGGACGGAAGGAAGACTTTTTTCCCCGGGATCAATACGGGAAGATTTAAGAGGGCGCCCTCTGAGGGGCCCAGTGCACAGGTGGGTTAAGGCGGCGCCAGATGGCGGCACGGGTCGTTGCTGCAGAGAAGAGAGCCTGGGTTCAAGAGAGGGGGCAACTCCAACCACAGAAAGCGTTTGCAATTTAAAGGCGGACGCCTACCTGGCCGATTGGTAGCAAGTGCGCGTGCGTTGCGTTCTCTCGCTGCGAGGAGAAAAACCGGCAGAGACGCTTGGGGACGATCGCCGCTTTTGACACTTCCTCGCTGCTTGTATCGCAAATTGGGTCCGTAAACCACGTGACCCCAATGCAGCAACTGGAAGCACTCTATGATCTGCGGCGCCTGAGGTGGCGAGAGAGGCCCATCGATCAACGCCGCGCCAATGAGCGAGTGGCCGATCATCTTTCACCTCACTTTGCGGGATGCGCCGCGACAAAGGAGGCAAGAACGGTGGTCCCTTTTGTGGTCGCTGCCCGCCCTGCCCGCTGATCCCGGGTCCGTCCGGTCCTTTCTGGGCTCGGAGTGTTCCTCCAAAGTCTTTTGGCGGAGGAACGCTTCGGCGGAAGGACCGGGCCAAGCTGGAAGAAGAGACGGGTATCTGAACGAGGCCAAAAAGAGGACCGAAATCACAAACCTCGGTCTCGCTGCCCGTACGTGAAAACCCTAAACCCCAGATGCGTCGAAACAAGAATCAGAACAACCAACTCCAGAGACAAGCTCTAGACAACCAATAAGAAAAGAAAAAAAAAAAAAAATCTTTTTTTTGGGGGGGGGGGGGGGGGGGGAGGGGCGCAATTTTCGCTTAATTTAATAGTGACCCTAGACAAGGCTTCTTCTATGGCTGAGGGTTTGTAATTGTCATTAAAAAAGAGTATTCGTTTTTACAGTTGGTACATTTGGTCTATTCATTTATATATTTATATTAAGTTGGTTTCAAGTATGCAGTGCTAACGCAGGAGCAAACAGGGGTATTGACGATAATAAACCATGGAGAAGGGGGACGGGGGGACGAAGGACAAACAAAAATCTCCAAACACAGATAGTTGACTGGTGCGCAACCGAAAAACAAACAAACAAACAAACAACCTGGTCCTGGTGTCGAACCAGGGACCTCTCCCTTTCCAGTGGAGCGCTCTACCAACTGAGCTAACCAGGAGTTAGGCGTCACCAGAGCAAACGGGTTTCGCCAGCTGCCACCAGTCTAACACCAACAATAGTGAACGGCCTACATTTTTAAGGTTACGATGATGATGCAATTAATGCGAGAGTGCAAGCGAGCTGGATAAGAATGACGTCATTCTTGTCCAGCTCGCTTGCACCTTCGCATTAATTGCAGTATCCTCGTAACATTATTATTTTCCCCCTAATCACCCAATTCAAGATCTGCTCCTACGTCATACAAAAGAATCGGTGTTAGCTGCACACCCGATCACATATTTACTGAGAACACGGCTCAAGCACATCGAAGCACGTTTGCTTTGTACATATGTGCACTTCCAACATCTCCGAAGAGAGTTTTTGCATGACCCTTGTGAAGCCGCACTCTCACCGCTAATAAAAGACAGTCTGCAGACACTGCCTTTTATTAGAGTTTCTACTTTGTCATATTGCACATGGCTCGCACAAAAAATCTCTTTAGAGATGTACGAGGCAATTCTATCATCGCGTCTGCAGCAATTACCGCCTCTTTTGTACGATGTATTACCGGTGTGACCGTGGCTTCACTCGTGTTTCGCGCATCTCCCGCCGGGGGGCACTGTCGGTTTAGGGGCCCCCGCGCATGCGCGGTCTCTCACCACGCGGTCTTGAAAACGTGTGCACGGATGATGACGGTTCCTGGAGGCCCTGGTCATGTCGCGCACCTCACAACGTATGCCAGAAGTGCGAGCGAGTCATCTGACACACTTGTTCCACGTCGAGGAGGCGCCGTTTCAGACACCTATTTTTCTTTTGTCACCGTAGACCGGGCTTTTTTTTATTTTTGGGCCACGGACGTCGGTCGGCGCGATCGACGACCGAAAATCAATCAGTCGGTAGGCCGTCGTTACTCTCGGGGGCGCAATCGTTTTTCCTCGGGGAATAAATCGGCGGCGCTTCTAGGGACCGTCGCGCTTCCCTATTCCTCGATTCCTCCCGGCGCCCTTCCCACCAACCCCGAAGGGGGGAGGAGAGGAGCGCTCGCAGCGACGCTCGACGGCGGCTGCGCACGCGGGGGTGGCTCAGTGCGTGCTGTGCGATGGGAGCGCGAGGAGCTACGCGGGCCGTCGGGACGTCGTCGGAGTCGGGCGCCGGCTGAGGGGGACCTCGCTCAGCATGCAGGCCTGGCTGCTCTGCGTCGTCAGCTGCCTGGTGAGCCCGCTTCCTCCGTGCGCGCTCTGTCTGTCGGCCGAGTCGGTCCGAGAGGGCACCGACTGCGCCCCGACCGTCGATCGGAGGAGAACGAGGCGGCTATCTGTCCTGGAAAAAGGTGGCGGGTTCTCAATTGACGAGCGTAACGACGAACATCGATCGGATTAGTTGGCTCGAAAAGTGCACATCGTTAAGGGCGCAGAAGCAGTCAACAGATTTTCGCGAGACGATCCTGAGTAAGAAAAGCATCCCGCTCGCCGACCCGAACACGTGGGCACCATTTCGTGTGTTTAGCGTCCTTCAAATAAATACCTAGATTTCGCTGAATACCGTTCCAATGGGATTTCTCGTACTTATATTACATGCGACGTGTGTTTCTATTTGGAGAAAAGCGATCCGCGTACGAAGCACTGGTCTTCCAGACCAGTAACCCGCTGTCGTATCTAACGCGTGAATGAACCTCAAGGGACATTGACACAGTCGTGTTTGACTGTCTATAAGACCATTTGGTCATTCATGCTTCGTATGAAGCGTGGCGATCAATTTAAGGAGTACCTTTCCAGGCGACATACGGATACAGGATAACTTAGTGTACTCGCGGTCACGTCATAACGTACGCAAGAAAACGTATAGTTGGGTCTGTGAGTGGACCCTCATGCTGTGACGAGACCGCGAGACTGCGGCACATCCGTGCTTCGCACGCCGCATGCCAAGCTCCTTGAATTGGTTGCCACGCTTCATCGAAAGCATGGATTTCCCGATGACTTGCTAATGTATTTCTCGCCATTCGTTACCCATAGTCTATTTCACCTGATGATGTACCATAGGAAAGTCTGCAAGCGCGAGTTCCTTGCTCTAGGGCTCATTTCGGCGGCACCTCTCGTGCACTGAGGGCAACTGTCAACGTTACGAGCTCGCGCTTCTAGCCTTCCCTGCGGTACAACATAGGGTGAAACGGAGTATTGCGCTTTACCTTTAGCGCAAGCGAGCCTATGCCAATGATCGTATCCGGTTCGTAAGTTGCGTTTGGTTTTGATGCGCTCTCAGCCATTTGAACCCGCGGGAATGTCATGGACAGATCATGACTTCATCCGGACAGATCAGGACTGTGTCGAAAACTTTCCTCGAGGAGAGAAAGAAAAGAAAACTGTAGCTGAGACGGCCTTGCTCTTGCCTATATCTCTGGAGCCACTAAATAGGCTACGGTCAGAGTATCTGAAATTCATCCTCCGCTATTTGCTCGTGGACGCCGTCATTTTGGTGCTCATCCACATTAGGATCAAAAAGATGTGGTTTTTTGAACTATAGATACTTTGTCACGAAGCTCAGGCCATATATCGTTCTACTTCGTTGCGGACTGCCTTAACATAAAAAAAAAAAAAGTTTCTTTTTTCTTTTGCGATTTTAGACAAAATGTTTATGACTTGCAAGCATGATTTTAGGCAACGAGAAGGTAAAACTGTCGTTATGATCTGAATTCGTTAGCAGCATTTGGCCGAGAGGCGGCGAATCCAGCTCAGTTGATTTGTACTTTTGCAACCGATATTGTCGCTTTAGATTCAAATTATTCGTACGGTGACATGTGTCGTTGGTATGGACAACTTACGTTTCCCGCAAAATTGTACACAATGGGAGTTATCCGTAACAACGAAACAAAAACGCATTTATTTACCCAATCCGTTCCCAAAATTGTTTATATAGCGGATTATCAATATAAGAAGTTTTAGTAATTATTTCCGATACCTCGGATATCTCACGCGCAAAGGCGCTGGCGCGGAGTAAATCAGGTGTCGCCTATCGAAGTTATCGCACCAATATACAATACAACTCCCTTTCAATGGGGTTCGTATACTAATGATGTTTGCGCAAACGCGCACTCTGTCGTCACTGTCATTTCTTGTCCCTGACGTCTCCGGACCTGCAGCTAATGCAGTGTTCATCTCGGCTCTGGCAGCCGACATGAACACTGCATCAGCTAGTCATTAGGTTCTGTTCGATTCGGCCAGAAAGTTCGGAGTTCAGAGGACTGCATGAGTCTAACTTAGGTATTGAGGCATTTGGCGCATAAAGTAGAGAGGAGAAGAACAGGGCAGGAAAGAGCGCCACTCACAACTACTGGTTTACTGACAGGAAAAAGAAAGAAGACAGAATGATCCATACCTGACACGTGCATCTACCGCCAGCTCCGTGAATGACAGTCTCGTTCATCCAGGCTCGTGTGGAGCCTTCGTTGTCTGTTGAGAGAATTATCTTTCCTTGTTTGATAGCGTAGAAACAACAGTGCAGCCATCGCGTTAAGACTGGCGCTGTAATCGACTTCCGGAGCGGAGAAGAAACGTGTTGACCACGTGATATCTCATTTCGATTTTGAGTTGCGGAGGAACGCCAACGATGGAGAAGAACCGAGACGCCTTGTTTCCACCGTCTACGACGTGTATACGTTTGTCCAGGGCTTCATGGGGTCATTCGCCTTTATTTTGCTTTCAAACATACAAACAAAATATTTTATATTAATGCTTTTTTTTTTATTCGAGTGCACTAAAACGTTTCCAAAACGATTGAAATGTGATCCTGTCTCCATTCTTTAACGATTACCGTCCGCCTTCTATCGCTTCTATAAGCACTGCATGTCCTTCGACCTCATACGCTACAAAAAAAAAAAAAAAAGTATACAGGGTGTAAAAAAAAAAAAAAAAAAATACAGGTTTTTTTCTTTTTGCAAAAATAAACTAGGCATCGCCGGACGCTCATTCTCAGCCCAAAGGTAGCGCTAGAGGTAACAACCAGATGCCAGAGTTTCAGCCCGAACGGACACCTTATTCAAAAGTTATAAGTAATTTTTGCCCGTTTTTGCCGGCTTTCAGTTTCTAGTGCCGTAGAGCCCAATGTATTCGAAAACTCCGTCGGCCACCGTTTTCCCATTGAAATTTTCAGAAAATCACTTATAAATTTTGTTTAAGGTATCGGATCGGGCTGAAACTTTGGCATCTGGTTGTGACCTCTAGCGCTGCCTATGGGCGGAGTATGAGTGTTCGACGATGCCTAGTTTATTTTCGCAATAAATAAAAAAAAAAAATACTTTGTGATTTTTTTTTTGTTTTTGTGACACCCTGTACATTGATTTGGCAAGAGTAAATGAATTCCAAGTCTGCCGAGCTTCGCTTTGACGATGGGTCCGAGACATGGGGTTGATTCCGCATACGGGATTACAGGCGGCAGCGCGCGCGGTAGCGGTCTTTGAGGATGAAGGCCTGACGAGAGCGTCGCCCTGGCCGAAACAGTTCTTGACCGTCACCGTTTAGTCTGACTTCCAAGAAAGACCCACGTGGACGTGCGAGAACCATGTCAGTTCTCGGCGTGTTTTCCCCGGTCCTGTTACTGGGCGACCACAGATACCGGTTATTACGAAGTCGGTTATAACGAAATGGCGTCTACAGCGAAGCGATTGCGACTTCCCATCCCTTTTGCACTTCGTTATAACCGAGGATGGTTATAACGAAATAGCGGATATAGCGAAGTGATTTCTGATTCCCGTTGACTTTGTTATAACCCGTCTCGACAGTACCAGCGTACACTCTCAAGAAAAAAGGGTGCATCGTTACACCCTTTGTCCTATATAATACACCCGAAAACTTCATTTCGACGTACAGAGCCCTATAGTCGAACAGACGTCCCCAAAATTTACGAGGGGCTTGGTAACGGTGGGATATAACTTCTTAAACGGCTAAAGTACGTATCAAAGACCACATAAAGAAAACACCAAGTTTTTACAGTTGGAACAAGAAAACCCCGATTATTTTTTTGGGAGTGAGTAACACGTACATTAGCTATTCTAATAAGTTGCACCACACGGCTATCAAGCACGTGACCACACGGCTATCAATTTCCCGCCGTCCTTTCAGGTGCAGGGCGCTGTACGTCGAATTGAAGTTTTGGGGTGTATTATATGGGACAAAGGGTGTAACGATACACCCTTTTACACCTTTTTTTTTTTGAGAGTGCAGCGTATAAAGCATGCCGTATTGGTCTCAGCTACGTAGACAGCCGAGTGCCAATATAGAAAATCGCCTACCTTTGAAATGTGTCAGAGTTGTCAGACTGACTCTCTAGGCTGCTGAGGGCAGGGGCTAATACGAGTGAAATCCGATCCCCGTGTCTTTCAAGAAATAATACCAACGTAGCAAATATCCACGTAGCATTAGAGCTTAGCCATCTATATATGTCATCGCATTCAGCCGCCGGCATTTTTCACGCTCTCTGAGCAATCAAAATACCGTCGTATAAACCCAACAGCATTTCATCGATATATTTAAAACTGCATACAGTATGTTCAGGACTGAACAGCAACAGGGTAGGATATACTACATGGTGTCGAGCTGTTATGATAGCTTGACAATTGCTTTGCTGGCCAGATGAAGCTTGCAGGGATGTCCAGCAATGTTTTCCCCATGGCGATCCTCAAGGCAGTTGGAAGTCGACGCAGACAATGGGATTTGTTAGTGCAGACAAATGGGACCGACGGTGAGCCACGAGTATGGCTTGATATGAAATTAGTGACTCTCTGAACCGAAAATACCAGAAAGATTAATCTCTTTCACAAGTCTTCATTAATGTGTTTTTCGTGCCGCAAAAAAAAAAAAAAAAGAAAAAAAAAAAAGAAACAACTTTAAATTATAACTTTTTGAGTGCCCATTCAAACAAGAGTGTTTGATTAAATTGTGTAATGAGTCACCCGGGCACTCGCTCTTCCGATTTCGCATGCAAAGCTACTCCTTACATTGGTTCTCCCCTTCCCTACGAAGCGAAGCAATTTGAATAGAAAGCACTGTGATCGAATTCTTATTCTGACGCAGCCGTTCCTCCGAACATCATTCGTGCCGAACCAAGCTCAGTCGAAACAGCCCGATCCGCTGCGAGGCGACGAGCGATGCACGGAGATGACCAGTGAAATACACTCACATCTAAAAGCTTGCTTTCTGAAATTGGGGTTTGAATTCTTT